TCTAAATATCAGCATAAAAATTGGCATCGGCCCCCAAAAACCCATGTTGGTTGGGCTTTATTCAATTGCTATACTCTAACTTATTACCTAAGATCTCTTTGCAGCCACAGCAGTAAGTTGTCGGTAGTCAGACGGTGCAAGAAAAGAAATCCTGTATAGAAAAAAAGATGCATAAAGATGCCTCGATAATTGTGGCCTCCCGAACTGTAATTAAATCGTGAGGTGCTTATAGATTCCCACCTCTACTGGTTTCACATCATAAGCACACAAGGAAAAAGAGCACACACCTTTTCACTCTGCTCTTTAAGTAAGAAGAAAGTTAGCATACACTCACTGGCCACTTTATTAGGTACACCTTGCTAGTACCGGGTTGGACCCCCTTTGCCTTCAGAACTGCCTTAGTCCTTTGCGGTGTTGGAAACCTTCCTCAGAGACTTTGGTCCATATTGACATGATAGCATCACTCAGTTGCTGCAGATTGTCGGCTGCACAGCCATGATGAGAATCTCCCGTTCCACCACATCCCTAAGGTGCTCTGTTGGACCGTGAGCTGGTGACTGTGGAGGCCACTGGAGTTCAGTGAACTCAATGTAATGTTCAAGAAACCAGTTTGAGATGATTTGAGCTATGTGACGTGGTGCATTATCCTGCTGGAAGACAACACCATGTTGAAAGTATTCCACAAAGAATTAAGGCAGTTCTGAAGGCAAAAGGGGGTCCAACCTTGTACTAGCAAGGTGTACCTAATAAAGTGGCCAGTGAGTGTAATTGTTACTGCAAATAATATTAAATGACTAATTTTATGCAATTCTTGACGGTGTTCCCCTGTGAATGCCTGAATGTTTGAATAATTGTTTAAAACCAATGCAAATAATTAAATAATATCATGTAAAAAGCTAATACAACAGGGCAGCTGAGGCTTGCACTAACCGCTCTCACAAATGACACATGTGGTCCCTTGATATAGAAGTCTGCAGCCTGCAGGAAATGTTGATACTTCTTACAGCCAATCTCCATCTTTTTCACCTCCGCCTGGGCATGCTCCAACATCATTTGTGGCCTGGATAGCCAGAAGGTAAAAGACAAGATTAACTCTAGAAATCTATGACAAGTCCATTACAAGACTATTATAATGACAGAAATTACATCTGTTAAAAGAGAAACCCTTGTACTCATCAACTTGCACCCCAATACCGGACCATTGAGTGTGAGCTCTTCAGCTCTTTGGAAGCCACAAAATGGGCTGGAACGTAATCCTTGGTGGAATGTGCGTCCATTAAAAGTATTTTGTTTTGCCAATGACGACGAAAGTAAACACAGGAACCATCTGCAGACACTGTAACAACTCTACTTGAACTACAGAGGTTCTTCAGTGGGCAAAAAGGTGATGTTTCCTCACCTTGGACTTCACTTCGCTGTCTGCACCTCAGTGTACATCAGTTAGTGTACATTTGGAAATGCAAACAATTGATTCACCTCAAAGTAATCACTCTGTTATCATGGAAACAAGACAGAACACCTGCAGTGATGAAAGGGACAGAGCTGTAATATATGATGCTGAAGTCGTTCATGCAACATTTAATA